AGCAGCTTGTCCACGTCATCGGTACTCACAGATTGGAGCTGATCCAGTTGTGGCTATAATGCTGAATGGAAGTGTTTTCTATTTAAAGAGCATAATGTTATACATATTGGGGTCCAAATAATTTAATTAGTTAAAATATTTTTCTCTTGTTTTCCAGTAGAAAACTCAAGGTGACTTACAAAAAATATAAGCACCCAAACAACCAAAATAAGTAGAAACAAGGGCAGAGTGAAGTGGTTCAAAGCAAACTCTACCATTAAACAGAACAAATAAAGAAAACATATAGCCTGTTTACAAATGAAAAAAGTCTTGGGAAATAAAATAGTCTTCATCCCATTTTGGAAGTGGCAGAAAAGGTAGTGCCAGAGTTATGGGAAGAGAGCCACAACTGAACAGGCCCTTTACCTAAACACTGCCTACCACATGCCATATGCTGGGAAGCTCTGCGAAAGGCCTCTGAAAAGAATTCAGTCTTTGGGTAGAACTATGTGTTAGAAGGTTGTCTTTCACCATCAGTCAGCATTTGTCTCCCAATGAAGCCAATATAGCCCCTTAAGAACAGACAAGATAAATCCATATGTCTTGTTTGTTGTTAACTGCTCTCGTGTTGACCCTGACTCATGGCAACCCTATGGATGAGACATCTCCCCTATCCTCCACTGATCTGCTTAGGTCCTGAAAATTCAGGCCTGTGACCTCCCTGATTGAGTTCATCCATCTGGCATGTAGTCTTCCTTTCTTTCTACTATCCTCCACCTTTCCTAGCATTGTTATCTTTTCTAGTGATCTGTGCCTTCTCATTAGATGGCCAAAATACAACAGCCTCAATTTGATCATATTGGCTTCCAGGGACAGTTCTGGCTTGATCTGTTCTAGGACTCATTTGTTTGTCTTTTTGGCCATCCACAGTATCTACAGAACATTTCTCCAGCACCACATCTCAAATGAATTGATTTTCCTCTTATCTGCTTTCTTCACTTTCTTCAATATCCAACTCTCACATCTGTAAGTGGTGAAAGAGAATACAATGGCTTGGACGATTCTAACTGTGGTGCTCAGATGTATGTCTTTACTCTTTAGGATCTTGTCCAGTTCAGCATCCACATTTGTAGCTGAACATTCTGAACTGAGTTCAAAGGCATTCTGAGATACAACACATTTCAGTACTCTAATATGGAGATTTTGGGAGCATTAGTATGCATACTTCAGACTTGTGGTATCTACTTTATTCTCTAACAAAGATTTTTTTTGTTCAATACAGATTTATGGTGGTGGTGTCTGTGAATCACACAAATGGGTTATTCTGCACCTGCGCAGTTAACTTCGGAAAGTTCTTGAACTGCTAGGGAAAACTTTTTGGTGGTAGATCTGCCCACCCGGTATATAATCCCTTAGCATTCCCACTCTTTCTCAGTTCCTTTCATCCACCACTCTCGCAGTTCAGAAGGAACTTTGCTTATTCGGATCGCTTTTTTCCTATTGATAAATTGGATTTACTTCTTTTTCGGATTTTGGATATTAGACTTGGTGATAAGCACAAATTGGTCGGCCACTGACTGTTTGACTTTGATTTCACTTCCCAGACTTGTAGACTTCCTAATGGTTTGAAAATGGCCACTCGGTCGACCACCTTCAAATGGTGCGATAAATGTGGGGGAGGGGAATCCCCAGGAGGACCCACACAATATGTGCCTTCTCTGCCTTGACTAGGGTCACAGTGTTCAGTCTTGTGCCCTTTACAAGTCTATGACCCCGCAAGCCAGTAAAAACCAGGACTCAAGGCTTAAAGCTGCTCTGTATGAACAGGCCTTACCCCGTGCTTCAGCTCCTGCATTCCAGGCATAGAGAAGGCATCGAAGGACGAGCCTTCGGAAAAGGATATTTATTATTATTATTATTATTATTATTATTTGGAGTATTTATACTCCACTCTTCAGCCAAAAGGCTATCAGAGAGATCTGAGCAAGGCCGGAGTTTCAACAATTCCAAGACCAAATAGGCCTCCAAATGGTGATATTCTAGGGATAAGGATTCCTGCCCTAGATGGGGAAAGTCCTCCGAGTGTTTGTCTTCAAAGAAGATGTGCTTTGAATCCTCCCACCATACCAAGACATCAGATTCCCATGTTAAGGCTGAGCCATCCAAGACCCTGTCAGCAACCCTCGAGATGAAGAGAGGAGGGGACAGAGGGCATCCTTACCTTGTCCCTTTTTGTATATGGATAATGTCTGATTTTTTTCCATTTATAATAAGTCCGGCATATTGTTCCTTATATATATATTCTCCACCCAACCTAGGAACTTGTTTACAACTCTCATTTTCTGTAGAATTCCTAACATATAATCCCAGCTAGGAGTAGTGCAAATTTCTTAGTGTTTTTTTCATAGTATTCAAAAAGATCTATAACTACTCTTATATTTCCTTTTAAATGCCTCAAAGGTAAAAAAGCTGGCTTGGTCTTCATGTATCAGGTCTCCCAATATTGTTTTAAATCTTTCTGTTAGTATAGCTGAAAATATTTCATAATCCAGGTTGAAGAGAGATATTGGGCAGTAACTGTATATCCTTGCCTTAACCTTGCCCTCTTTATGAATCAGGGTGACATTTGCAGACTTCCAGGTGTCTGGAATCCCTTCTTTTAAAAGTGAATTCAGAGTATCTTAGTGGTATTTTAATAATGTTTTCCAACTTTTTGTAGTAGCATGCAGTGAAACCATCTGGACTGTCTCTATCAAAGAATAATGTAGCTCCTTAAAATCTAAAAAAGTTTTATATGGTATAAATCAACTTCCGTATGTGCAATGTAGCTGATATCTTCAGATGCTGTGGGCTACTGTTCACAAAAGCTTATGCCAAATAAAAACTTGTTTGTCTTTAAGATCCATAGGATTCATTGTTTCTGCTGCTAAAGACCAATATGGAAATAACTGAAATCCAGCATCGCAATCTACAACCCTTGCAGTTTATTCAGATTACCACAGTATGCAGAGGGATTTTGTAGACCTTTGAGACTAACTGTGTGAAAGAAGTTGTAGTGTAAGATTTTTGTTGGTCTTCTTCCTCAGATGCAAGGGTGTAGGTTACTACAGATTACCTGATTACCACAGTCTGTGATATTGATAGCTGTTGGGAAATCCTGTTCTACCTGTCTGAATCTTCTTCTGGTTTGGGTTTCAGACATAATAAAGAGTGGTCTACATGCCAAAGGCAGAAGAAAAAAGATCTAGATCAGGGGTAGGCAACCTTTCCCCTTTAAGGGCCGAGGGACTTCAGCTCCCAGAATCCCAGGAACTATTGGCCAACATGGGACTATTGGCCAACATGGCTGAGGCTTCTGGGAGCTGAAGTCCCTCGGCCCTTAAAGGGGAAAGGTTGCCTACCCCTGATCTAGATCATCAGCTTCATTTTATCCTAGAGCTCATAAGAATAGTTTGTCAGCTGCATTCTCAAGTAGGTGTTTGCAAGCATGTGGTGGTTCTAACCCTGAAGATGTATAAAGTGTTCCTTTATTAGCAACCCCATAACTACAACTTTTAAAGACAGGTAGGAGTATCCCCTTGATTGCTTTCAGGACCAAATAAATCCTCTGGCTAAAAGTTAATAGCCAAAAGGGCAGCAATTCAAAGGTCATGTAGTAGATACTGTTTATCACCACAAAACTTCTACATCTTTAGGTCTTTTTTCCATTTGGGCAAGCCAGGCCCAAATGGTGACCTGTTAATTTCCTCCTCATATTAAAATCTCTTAAGCAAGCACAGAACACAGAGGAAGGAACTGAATTAGATGGGGCAATTTTGAAGACCAGTTGTGCTTAGTTGAGATTGTATAGGGAAGTGCCAAGTGAAGGCTACTATCTGGAAAAATCTG